TTCATTCGCATCTCTCTCCTTATTCCATTCCGATCTATCTATCATTTCATTCAAAAATCTATCGATATCAATTCATAGTGATTTATTTGTCTAATTTCATTCATATATATATATATATATATATATATATATATATTCAAAACCTGCGGAGGGTCGTTTGGGAACCTTGTGGCATGCATTCGGTGCACCAGGTTTCTGTATTCGTCCCTCCAAAAAGTGTGGCTGGTCCTGCACGAGGCCTGCACCACTATAATCAAATCTCATGTGCCGGTGTCGGGATGTCGGTTTCCTGGGGACTTATCGGCCTGACCCTCATACGTCGAACACGACGGGAGAGTCGATTATTATATATATATATATATATATATATTATAAATTAATTGATTTAAAATATGGTTTTTTCCGCTACACAGTTCCAACCATGTTTCAAAAATAGAAGCTAAAAACCCCGAATTTATTTTTGCAATTAAATTAAAAGCATTAGTTCCATTTCATCTTCAACCGAATTTTGGAGTAACTTTTAAAAATTACCGGGTTTTAAAGACACAGCTAAAATCACGTTTCCATGGTTACAGAATATTCTACTTAAATTGAACAAGGGATGTCTAGATTTTCCTTATGTCAGTATCATTGTATCAGTTATTAGCTACAATTTGGTAAGGGGTAGGGATGTATTTTACAATGAAACCTAACATCAGTTGAATGGATGTCGTCTGGATTTAAAAAAAAAAAAAAAAAAATTGTTAACGGTAAAAAAATTTCAACGTCATTTTTTAAATTTAAAGATTTTCGTTTTTTTTTTTTTTTTTTTTTTTCCTAATACTTTTTATTTAACTACGATTTGAAATATTCTCCTATATATATGTGTGTGTGTATATATATATGTATATATATATATATATATATGTTACATTTAATTCAAATCTATCAATATTAGTCTTTTCCTATTTATCTATCTACGATCTATTCCGATCGCTCTCATTTCATAGAGATCTATCTATCTCATTTTATTCAGATGTCTCTCTTTCTCTCTCCCTCCATTTATCTATATCTATATATATATATATATATATATATATATATATATATATATATATATATGAACCTCCAACCCTCTTTCTTATCTCAATTCATTGGGATTTATCAATGTCTAATTCATTCAGATCTCCCTCCCTCTCTCTTCCCCCCTCTCTCTCTCTCTGTCAATCTCATTTAATTCAGATCTATCAGATTAGTCTGACTCTGTCTATTTTTTCAGATCTATTTTGTTTCATATAGATCTATATATCTTATTTCATATAGAGCTATCTCCTATTTTATTCAGATCTCTCTTTCTCTCTCTATATATATGTATGTATGTATGTATATATGTATGTATATATGTATGTATATATGTATGTATATATGTATGTATGTATGTATGTATATATGTATGTATGTATGTATGTATATACATATATGTATGTATGTATGTATGTATGTATGTATGTATGTAAGTATCTCTATCCCGCTCTTTTATCTCATCTCATGTAAATTATCTATGTCTAATTTCATTCAGATATCTCCTCACATTTCATATCTATCTATCTATCTATCTATCTATCTATCTATCTTATTATTTAGAGCTATCACATTTCATATCTATCTATCTATCTATCTATCTATCTATCTATCTATCTATCTATTATTTATCTATCATCTTATTTTTAGAGCATAGATATCATATCTATCTATCTATCTATCTATCTATCTATCTATCTATCTTATTATTTAGAGCTATCACATTTCATAGATATCTATCTATCTATCTATCTATCTATCTTATTATTTAGAGCTATCACATTTCATATCTATCTATCTATCTATCTATCTATCTATCTATCTATCTTATTATTTAGAGCTATCACATTTCATAGATATCTATCTATCTATTTTATTATTTAGAGCTATCACATTTCATAGATATCTATCTATCTATCTATCTATCTATCTATCTTATTATTTAGAGATATTACATTTCATAGATATCTATCTATCTATCTATCTATCTATCTATCTATCTTATTATTTAGAGCTATTACATTTCATATCTATCTATCTATCTATCTATCTATCTATCTATCTTATTATTTAGAGCTATTACATTTCATAGATATCTATCTATCTATCTATCTATCTAACTATCTTATTATTTAGAGCTATCACATTTCATATCTATCTGTCTATCTATCTATCTTATTATTTAGAGCTATCACATTTCATAGATATCTATCTATCTATCCATCTTATTATTTAGAGCTATCACATTTCATAGATATCTATCTATCTATCTATCTTATTATTTAGAGCTATCACATTTCATATCTATCTATCTATCTATCTATCTATCTATCTATCTATCTATCTATCATTATTTAGAGCTATCACATTTCATAGATATCTATCTATCTATTTTATTATTTAGAGCTATCACATTTCATAGATATCTATCTATCTATCTATCTATCTATCTATCTTATTATTTAGAGCTATTACATTTCATAGATATCTATCTATCTATCTATCTTATCATTTAGAGCTATCACATTTCATAGATATCTATCTATCTATCTATCTAACTTATTATTTAGAGCTATCACATTTCATATCTATCTATCTATCTATCTATCTATCTTATTATTTAGAGCTATCACATTTCATAGATATCTATCTATCTATCTTATTATTTAGAGCTATCACATTTCATAGATATCTATCTATCTATCTATCTATCTTATAATTTAGAGCTATCATATTTCATAGATATCTATCTATCTATCTATCTATCTTATTATTTAGAGCTATCACATTTCATAGATATCTATCTATCTATCTATCTATCTATCTATATCTATATCGTTTCATATAGATCTATCATTTTATTCAGATATTTCTCTCTCTCTCTCTCTCTCTCTCTCTATCTATTTCATTTCATTCAGGTCTATTTATCTATATTAGTCTGTTCGTACCTATCTATTTCTATATCTCCCCTCTAGCTACCTATCTCTCATTTCGCATTCAGATTTCTCTCTCTCTCTCTCTCTATCTATCTATCTATCTATCTATCTATCTATCTATCTATCAACAATCTTTCTTACTATTTAGAGCTATCACATTTCATAGAGATCTATCTATCGATCTATCTATCTATATCGCTTCATATAGATCTATCATTTTATTCAGATCTCTATCTATCTATCTATCTATCTATCTATCTATCTATCTATCTATCTATCTATCTCATTTCCTACAGATCTATCTCTCCTTTCAATCCGATATCTATCTATCTATCTATCTATCTATCTATCTATCTATCTATCTATCTATCCTTCTACAATCTTTTCTTACTATTTAGAGCTATCACAATTCACAGCGATCTATCTATCGATCTATCTATCTATATCGCTTCATATAGATCTATCATTTTTTCATTCATCTATATCTATCTATCTATCTATCTATCTATCTATCTATCTATCTATCTATCTCATTTCCTACAGATCTATCTCTCCTTTCACTCCGATATCTATCTATCTATCTATCTATCTATCTACAATCTTTCTTACTATTTAGAGCTATCACATTTCATAGAGATCTATCTATCGATCTATCTATCTATATCGCTTCATATAGATCTATCATTTTATTCAGATATCTATCTATCTATCTTATTATTTAGAGCTATCACATTTCATAGATATCTATCTATCTATCTATCTATCTATCTATCTATCTATCTATCTATCTATCTATATCGTTTCATATAGATCTATCATTTTATTCAGATATTTCTCTCTCTCTCTCTATCTATTTCATTTCATTCAGGTCTATTTATCTATATTAGTCTGTTCGTACCTATCTATTTCTATATCTCCCTCTAGCTACCTATCTCTCATTTCGCATTCAGATTTCTCTCTCTCTCTCTCTCTCTCTATCTATCTATCTATCTATCTATCTATCTATCTATCTATCTATCTATCAACAATCTTTCTTACTATTTAGAGCTATCACATTTCATAGAGATCTATCTATCGATCTATCTATCTATATCGCTTCATATAGCTCTATCATTTTATTCAGATATCTATCTATCTATCTATCTATCTATCTATCTATCTATCTTCCTATCTATCTATCTCCTTTCCTACAGATCTATCTCTCCTTTCACTCCGATCTATCTATCTATCTATCTATCTATCTATCTATCTATCTATCTACAATCTTTCTTACTATTTAGAGCTATCACAATTCACAGCGATCTATCTATCGATCTATCTATCTATATCGCTTCATATAGATCTATCATTTTATTCAGATATCTATCTATCTATCTATCTATCTATCTATCTATCTATCTATCTATCTATCTATCTATCTCATTTCCTACAGATCTATCTCTCCTTTCAATTCGATATCTATCTATCTATCTATCTATCTATCTATCTATCTATCTATCTATCTATCTATCTACAATCTTTCTTACTATTTAGAGCTATCACAATTCACAGCGATCTATCTATCGATCTATCTATCTATATCGCTTCATATAGATCTATCATTTTATTCAGATATCTATCTATCTATCTATCTATCTATCTATCTATCTATCTATCTATCTATCTATCTATCTATCTCATTTCCTACAGATCTATCTCTCCTTTCACTCCGATATCTATCTATCTATCTATCTATCTATCTATCTATCTATCTATCTATCTATCTATCTACAATCTTTCTTACTATTTAGAGCTATCACAATTCACAGCGATCTATCTATCGATCTATCTATCTATATCGCTTCATATAGATCTATCATTTTATTCAGATATCTATCTATCTATCTATCTATCTATCTATCTATCTCATTTCCTACAGATCTATCTCTCCTTTCACTCCGATATCTATCTATCTATCTATCTATCTATCTATCTATCTATCTATCTATCTATCTATCTATTCATCTATCTTTCTTACTATTTAGAGCTATCACAATTCACAGCGATCTATCTATCGATCTATCTATCTATATCGCTTCATATAGATCTATCATTTTATTCAGATATCTATCTATCTATCTATCTATCTATCTATCTATCTATCTATCTATCTATCTATATCTATCTCATTTCCTACAGATCTATCTCTCCTTTCACTCCGATATCTATCTATCTATCTATCTATCTATCTATCTATCTATCTATCTATCTATCTATCCATCTATCCATCCATCTTTCTTACTACTATTTAGAGCTATCACATTTCATAGTGATCTATCTATCGATCTATCTATCTATATCGCTTCATATAGATCTATCATTTTATTCAGATATCTATCTATCTATCTATCTATCTATCTATCTATCTATCATCTATCTATCTATCTATCTATCTCATTTGCTACAGATCTATCTCTCCTTTCACTCCGATATTCATCTATTCATTCATCTATCTATCTATCTATCTATCTATCTATCTATCTATCTATCTACAATCTTTCTTACTATTTAGAGCTATCACATTTCATAGAGATCTATCTATCGATCTATCTATCTATATCGCTTCATATAGATCTATCATTTTATTCAGATCTCTATCTATCTATCTATCTATCTATCTATCTATCTATCTATCTATCTATCTATCTATAATCAATGTTTATATTCATATAAAATCCGGACACTGTTTGTCTTTTTTTCCTTTTTCATTAGACCCTGACCTAAATATCCCACGTATACTAAGACGCAACAAAATTCACCAAATTGACGAAAAACATCAAAGCACAATAAAAGTCTTCCTAATTGAATCTCCATACAAATGCCAATGATCGACATCGGAACGTTTCTACATAAATCACCCCCGCATTCCCGCCGGAACCAGAAACAACATCTCCCTGTGCAGTCTCGTCTTACTATGACCATAAAAATATGTAAGTCGTTGCACAGATGCCATTTCTCATAGCAGGAATACAAATTCTGAGTTGAACTAAACTCTTACAAGATTTTACAAGCTTATCTGTGCACTTAAAATCTTGTTAACCTGTCGGAGAGTCAGCCCACCGGCCCTATCCACACTGGTGCTGTACACATTTGCCTCGAGGTCAAACATTTTACTTCATGAGCAGCGTTACTAACCCTTTATTTTAGTCTTACTATGTCAGCTTTAGAAATTTGCCAGTGACTATCGTAAAAGTCGAGTTGATTGTCATTATGCAAGCAGCTGTTATTACCAAAGCCGCTAGTTTTAATAAATCTTAGAGGTATATAAGCGTGCAGGCTCCGGAGATCTGTGAAGGACTTGTTCAAGTCACGCATCTTCGCCCATATGGTTCACATGAAATCTTTCGATTGGCAAAGTGTTCGTGTTTATCGCACGAGCCGCAGCACCTTCCCCATTTTGCGTCGTGTTTCTTTTATAGCAGTCGTAGTAGTAAATATTTACACTGCTAACAGACAGATTTTACAAGAAATTCAATGTGCGACGTGGCGGGCTAGATTTTTTTTTCTTTCTTTTTTTTTTCTTTCTTTTTTTTTTTCTTTCTTTTTTTTTCTTTCTTTCATCAGATTTAGAGCTGTCGGATTTAACGTGCGCGAAAAAAAAAGGCAGACAACTGTTTCTGTTGCTTGGACAGTCGGAAAGATAATATTAAATATAGAGTCGATCTGCGCATTTGGCAAGCAGTGGTTAACGAGCTTGTCTCGCAAGAACATACTTCCATTGATGAGTTTCACCATCATTCAGTGCCTTCACAGTTGTGGCGTAATGACGTAAGAACTTAAATATTTATTTATCGACTTGCCGATAGCTTGTAACATGAGCCGTCGGTCAGTAATACGACAGGTCAGAAATATAAGAAAAGCATAGACACATGATCGATTTGTTTTTTATGGCTTACCAACCTTTTGCGGTTTAAAGCCGAAACATATTTTTAGGTTGTAAGAATAGTTCTTTTGCCTTTACAAGTGAATATTGCCTTAACCATATAAACAAATAATAATAATAATAGTGGCACATGGGGACATTAACAATCCCTGTTGTAGTTGCAACGCTCGGGTTGGTTGGAAAAGATTCCAGTAGACTCGCTGAAGGGATCCCTCGAAGACCATGCCTTAAAGAAATACAAAAAAAAAATGTTCTCACGAGTACAGCCTACACTTGACGAAGGACTTTATCTATGTAAAATATGTATGTGTGCGTTTTCTTTTTAATTGGTAAGTGGAAAATGTCATGATGCCATTTCTGACCTTTGGTAAAGAAATGTGTACACCCCAGAAATCAAAGGAAATAAATAAATAAATAACTAATAATAATAATAATAATATTATTATTATTATTATTATTATTATTATTATTATTATTATTATTAGTTATTTATTTATTTATTTCCTTTGATTATGTAGGTAAGTACACCTTAAGATTAAACTTAAACTTATACGAATAGATGCTGAAATTTTCTCAGTTCAACCAAAAAGACCTTCTTGAAAATTTTCTGATGTTGTGTCATTTGGTCAGATTTCGAGAACTGATAAGGCCGAGAATTTTTCAGTACTGACTGATCGATGCGTTAAGACATATAATAATACTAATACTGATAATATTATTAATAATAAATAAGTATTTAAAAATATAATTTTAATGATACAGGTCTAAATAATTAACCCTTAGTTGGGGAGATAGGTGAATTCTTATCTTTCCCAATTGTTTTTGCGCTTAAGTGAATATAACGAACCCAATGGGAATTATAACTGGAATCCCCGGTTTACAATTCCGAGCCGTTATCCGTTACACCACTCGCACATCCGCGCTTACAACACATGGTATTCTCAAGCTGTCACCCATGTGATTAGTCTCAATGATGCTTAACTTCGGTGAGCGTATGGGAACCAGTGTTTCAACAATGAAACTCAGAGTAGAGAATTATGAGAAAAAATATTTTCTTCGTGTTATTATTATTATTAGTAGTAGTAGTAGTAGTGGTAGTATTAGTATTAATATTATTAATTTTAATGGTCTAACTTTTGATATCAAATGATTATTACCTTAAAAACGTTATCTTCCAGTGTTGTCCTGATAGACAGAATTTTCGGCTAAATACAATCTTTTTTTTTTTTTTTAAGTGAAGCGGATCAATATTTTCGACGACGGAAACGTATTTATACGTATATTTTGATCTGCAATTTTCTCTGCATCACATTTGATCTCTGGTATTAATATTCCTCATTGGATTAAGTGCACTGACAAAGAAAATTGCATTGAAATATAAATATTTGTCATGTGCAATAAATACATTTTCCCATCATAAGTCGACGAGTCTACAGATGTACAATATTACTACGCATACATGCATATGCAGTGTAACCCGGATATAAGAGAGTTGTCGGGACCGGAGAAGTCTCTTATATCCGGGTTTCTCTTATATCCGGGTTTGGTCTATTTTATATACATTAAGACAGGCTCTAATTTGGGACCTGATAAAATCTCTCTTATATCCGAGTTTCTCTTATATCCGGGTCTCTTATATCCGGGTTACAATGTATATACAAACTCACAAAACACACACACATTTATATGGACGCAAACACACGTATAAATACTCACACATGCATATACATACAGACACACAGATATGTATATACTCACACGCACACACACACACACACACACACACACACATTTATATATATATATATATATATATATATATATATATATATATATATATATTGATCCCTGAATGTTTACTAAGGAGGTAAGAGAATACATTTACCACCTCCCTCTACTCTTTCAAATATTGTGACATCTCTGTAACGAGAATTTTATCCACGGTATTGGGTGATGAGACATAGTACAGGGAGAAGTGGACTCATGCCTTTCCCAATTATCATTATTGGAATAGGAACAGAAGCCAACCGCACTCAATATTCGAACTCGGTTCACCGATTTTATTTTTCGTTATTTTTATTAAAGAGGGAGAAGCGTAAGAAAGAGTGGAATGGTGGAGAGAGAAAAAGAAGAGAGAGAGAGAGAGATAGAGAGAAGAAACTAGAGAGAAAGAGGAGAGTAAGAGAGAAATGAGAAAAGGAGAGTAAAAGGGAAAATAGAGAGAAATAGAGAAGGAGACAAGAGGAGTGGGTGAGACAAAGCTACTACTGGAATTCCAACCTGCTGCGTTCTGTGAGAGTGAGTCAACCGATTGTTATTTCCTCAGCTTAGGTTAGTCTGGCATAAGGCTACAGATATGGAAGCCCAAGCCCATCTTCTCAGTAGCAACGGTCGACCAGACTAGCGCTTTAAGTACTGAGCGCCCGATTGAATCCTGCAGGTTGACCGGCAGGTAATATTAAGTACCCGTCTTTCAGGTGGTTTTTCTTCCAAGTGAAGAGTTGAACACTCCGTTTTGCCACGAGGCGATGGCTTTTCTGTACGAGTCATGGCTGGAGTGAAAAGGTCAGCGTGGAAAATATACCAACATTGACATTTACTTACTTTTACTTACTACGATTACTGATTGCAAGCGCTGGGGGACTTAGTGGGGAACGAAATCATTATGCTGAGTAATGGTCTAGTGAAATTATCTTACTAAAATATTGTCAGTTTAATATGACGCAAGGCTAAAGATATACTTTAATTCGTTTGAACTTTTGATTTCGACTTGGTTATTATCGCTATTGTTATCGACACAACGTTTCGACCACGTGCCCTTTGGACATCATCAGAAAAAAAAAAGCTGCAGATGTTAGCAGTGAACAGTTTTGTCGTCTGTGATATTGTTGACCGTTGTTCCATGACAAGCTGTAAAAAGTGTGAGAGACTTGTTTGTGAACACTTGTGTTGTGATATTTAGAGTAACTGCAGTATAACTGATTCTTACTTACATGCCGTACGAGACACGTAGCCTAAATATAAACTGAAATGAAAAAAAAATGGAAATCATATTAAAATAACAGTAATTGCGAAAGTGATGTGATTTGTTTGTACCTTCGTTTGTACCTTCGTTTGTTTGTTTGTTTGTTTGCTAAATGTTGAATCATTTGTTTTTTGTGCTATCAAAATATTCGTTCATTCAAAACAATTTACCGAGCGAGTAACGACACCAAGCTGCAGCAACAATCGTAGTTTAATCGGCGAAGACATTTGAAAGAAAGAAAAAAGAAGAAAAAAAAAACTACATAATTAGCAGGCTTTGCTTGACATGACACGGGGTCAAATTGTGGGAGGCCGTGAAGATTATGCTGCGCCAGTTTCTTCGGAAATTATCCGTCAAGATCCAGTGCTTGGCCACTGATCGTTACGGGATATAATTTGTACCGCAGTCGCTAAGTCATCCTCAAAGAGAAGAAAGAATTCTTAACTTACTGTTGCAATCCCTTCTAACAAATAATATTCCCAGGGTGTGCATATATATATATATATATATATATATATATATATATATATATATATATATATGTGTGTGTGTGTGTGTGTGTATTATGTGTGTGTTTGTATGTGTGTAAGGTAGGAATCAGATCATGTCTTGGTATGGAGCAGTAGCGACCAAGGATATATTATAAGTAATAACTCCAGGCCTCACTTATTCAAGTAAATATGTGACGATGCACTAGATTAAGCTAATAAGTGCAATCAGATTGGGAAATAACACTTTAATCTTTAAAATACTGCCGGGTTTGAACTTAGGGTTTCCAAGCACTGATTTTTATACGGAATGCATACTAGAGTTATTTAAGAAAAATTTAAAAAGGAAACGAAAGAATTACAACACTAATATTTCTACGCGGCTAGAAGTATTCATTTTAACATTAAACTGAAACCCAAAACAAAACAATGACAAAAAAATAGTCCCCTCCCCTATCCAACTAATTGAAAAGCCAACATCTTAACCAGGCAGACAATATCATTATTTCAAAGCAAAGCAGTTGGTTCTTTTTAGCAGTCGCTGAGAGAGAGAGAGAAATAAAGAGAGAGAGAGAGTGGGAAAGAGAGAGGGGAATAGGAAAGAAATAAAGAAAAAAGAAATAATAAAAGAAAGAGAAATTAAAGAAATAAATAAAGAAAAAGAAAGAAATGGAAAACGAAAGAGAAAAAAAAACGATGCGTTGTTTTGAGATAGGAATGCCGGTTTCGGTCTAAGATCTCTTGTATTTTTATCTGATTAACCCTAAACCTTAATAATACATTCACAGCACAACATACACCCAGGGGCTTGAATTGTTGGTGTTATTGTGGAGAGAGTTAACATGATGAAAATTTCGATGAATATGTCGACAGACTGAGGTCATTACTCGACGAGCCGCGGTATCCATTTTTTCGCGGCTACTTTAGTTACAGTAGTGGTTGAAAAAGGAAGCGGTTCTCTTTGATAGTCAACGTGTTCGGCGGAAGCAACATGCGTCGATCGTAAAAGTCAAATCGGCTTGGAGGAGAAAGGACAGTTATCACCATCGTAGAAATACATCATAAATGAAATTGTAAACCGATTCAAAATTTAAGCAGATGTAGCATTTTTTTCTTGATCCTACGTTTAAAAACCCCTTCAAAAATAACAATAACAAGGTAATAAAAAAAGATTATCTAATGATAGCAAGGTCCTCACTACGGTAGGCATAATAACTATCAACTTACTAAACTTAGCTTCATCTGAAAGAAGAAAAAAAAAATCACGCTGTAATCGTACACCCAGATGGGATCGAATTGAATACACGGACGGAATGGTCTGCAAGAGGAACATGTTAACCTTCGCGCAAAGGTAAGCGCCAACGATTATAACATCTCACTTTATACGTAGTATGCCTTCAGGATGTTTGGGATTATACCTCTTCACAGCTTCCTTCATTTTCTTGCTTGCATCAATATTTTATCCGCTACGGGCTTTTTCTTACTCATTCCACCATTTATTTGTTTAAACTTGTCGAACAGGTTTCTCTTTGCGTTTCCCATGCTTATCTTGTTTTTAGTATGCCCTGTATGTTTTAAATTCTCCTAGCATTCTTTCCTCGTTATGATTCCGTAACACTGAAACTGTCACTTTCAGTTTGTTAGCAGGATTTTCTATGAAGTTCCTCGTATTCTTGAAACGTCTTCGTTTCTCACATAATCTGCTAGAAGTTGTTTCAAAATTCTTCGGGAGAGCAACATCTCTCTCGCTCTCCATTTATTGTTTTGTTTTTCATTCAGCATATAGAATGTTACACGTTACCGAATAGTCCTGCAATTTTTGTTTGTTTCTAAAGACATTTGTCTAGGCTTTAATTCTTTACTCAATGTCTGAAAGGTCACTTTCCATATTATTCTGTGTCTAAAAAAAAAAAAAAAAAAAGAGTCCCGAGTATCAGAATCCGATTCCATCTTCTAGGCTTGAACTCGCGAAGAGTTGTTTAGAATTAACACGCTAAACAACATATAGTGAGATCTTGTCGTTCATTATATCAATTATCAATAATAAAAATAAGAAAAAATAAATAAAAGCGCTAAAGTAGATACTCCGTTTTGGAGAGACGTGTCAAGCAATCTTCTGACCATCAGACATTAGTTGTTTTTTTACGTGTTATCAACCCTTTTTGGGTTATTTAAAGCCGAACACACATTTCAGATTATTGGAGGTTGCTTACAGTGTTCCCGGAGTTCTCAAGCGGCTCCTCTTTTAACTACTGGCCAGACACAACATTGCTTAACTTCAGTGATCGAACTGGAACCCATTTTTTTTTCTGTAGATCATTCGATAGAAACACAAAAATGAATAACAAAAAGGATAGGAGACAGATGTTTCAGTCATTGTAGGAGCACAGGGAACGATTCCGAAAAGCATAACGTAAACATTGAAGAAAGTGTGGCACTGGAGAATCGAGAGCGTTTAACAGAACGACACTGTTGAAAACAGCTGGCATACTGAGGAGAGTTCTGGAGCATTGTAAAGAATTACAGTCACATAATCGCCAGAGTAAATCATAGTATATATATATAATATAATATATATATATATATATATATATATATATATATATATATATATATATATATATATATATATATATATGAAGAATAGAGGTGTCAGAATCGAGATTGGTACCCTGAAACGCGGAGAGTTGTTGCTCAACCAACATTACCACAAAACAAGCCACAGTACAAGTCATTTGTACTTGTTCATCTTATTGATAGTAGCTGGACTTGTCAAAGACACAGTCGTAGGAGGAAGACTGAAAATAGTAGAATGAATTGAAGAGCAGTAGTATTTTTTTTTGTTTTGTTTTGTTTTAGTTGTTGTTGAAGAACCCAAGTGCTGCTGAGTCGCCTATATAAGCAGTCATCTTTTTCGGACTACTTGTACGGTTAGAATTGTTGATCTAACCGTGGTAGTAGTAGTAGTAGTAGTAGTAGTTGTAGTGAGGATTGTAGTAGCAGTAGTAGTAGTCGACGCAGCAGTAGAAGTAGTTATTACTGCAGTAGATGTGCTATTGTGTTGCCACATATGGATCAGGGGAATATCGTCAAAAGCATGTGCTGTATCACAGCGGCGGGGAGATATGCATGTGGCGGCAAAAAAGTGGGGGGTCGTGCTTAACGGCGATTGCGTGGTATGGACCTTACCTTATCAATGGAGAGGTCTACGTAAGACTTTCCTCGATCAGAGACTCCCCACCCCTTCCAGCAACCAAGGCCTCCATCAGTTTTCCTATCGTCGTCATTACAGTGATTATTCAACACGCGACGGGTGGTGGTTGTTGCCTACGTTGAGTAGATATTAAATTAAAATAAGAAAGAAAAAAGAAAATCAGGACAGAAAAGAGAGGGGCTACAAATTAAAGAAAAAAAAAAAGAGAGAAAAAAAAAGAAGCAAGAGAAGAGGAAAGTAAGTAAGAAAAAGTTACTGAAGGAGAGATAGAAAAAGAAAAAAAAATAGAAAAAGGGTTTGAAAAAAAAAGAAGAAAAGGAACGGTGAAGAAAGAAAAGATTACCTACCTACCAACATACACATACATCCACCAATCCATATATACATACAGGTACGCATAGATATTAGCGACTAGGCACACCCTAACACTACCACCGACGCATCTATCTATCTATCTATCTATCTATCTATCTATCTATCTATCTATCTATCTATCTATATTCGTTCTTCTTGTTTGTTCCTATCTATCTATCTATCTATCTATCTATCTATCTATCTATCTATCTATCTATCTATCTATCTATCTATCCCTATTCGTTCTTCTTGCTGGTTCCTATCTATCTATCTATCTATCTATCTATCTATCTATCTATCTATCTATCTATCTATCTCATTTTGTGCATTATCTATCTATCTATCTATCTATCTATCTATCTATCTATCTATCTATCTATCTATCTATCTATCTATCTATCTATCTCTATTCGTTCTTCTTGTTTGTTCCCATCTATCATTCTATCATCCATCTATCTATCTATCTATCTATCTATCTATCTATCCATCTATCTATCCCTATTCGTTCTTCTTGCTGGTTCCCATCATCTATCATATCTATCTATCTATCTATCTATCTATCTATCTATCCATCTATCTCATTTTGTGCATTATCTATCTATTCATCTATCTATCTATCTATCTATCTATCTATCTATCTATCTATCTCATTTTGTGCATTATCTATCTATCTATCTATCTATCTATCTATCTATCTATCTATCTATCTCTATTCGTTCTTCTTGTTTGTTCCTATCTATCTATCTATCTATCTATCTATCTATCTATCTATCTATCTATCTATCTATCTATCTATCTATCCCTATTCGTTCTTCTTGTTGGTTCCTATTCATCTATCTATCTATCTATCTATCTATCTATCTATCTATCTATCTATCTCATTTTTTGTGCATTATCTATCTATCTATCTATCTATCTATCTATCTATCTATCTATCTATCTATCTATCTCATTTTGTGCATTATCTATCTATCTATCTATCTATCTATCTATCTATCTAGCTATCTAGCTATCTCTGTCTGTTCCTTTCTATTTAACACTGGAAGGTTATAAATCAGATTTAAAGGAAGGAAGGAAGGAAAGAAGGAAGGAAGGAACAAAACACATCGATTCAATACTACACAAATCTCTGTTGTATTTACAGCTATAATACTAAATAATAATATAAAAATGTCTGTAATTTGTAATTACAAGAAAAATATGATGTCATAACGATGGTAAAGGGATAAAAAGAAAAAGAAGCTAAACACAGCCGTCAGGATAATGAGGCATAACCACAAGGAACAAAATGCAGAATTGATGAAGGATTAGCACTAAAAGTGACTACGACATTTGTTACGTTAAGCTTTTCAGAGTACTACATCAAATGTTGTCGTGTTGCGCGCGGACGCAAACATTCGCACATGCTTACACATACAATATCCTGCCTTGTCGGGCGGTCGTGCGCACACACGCACACAGACATATAGACACACACGTATATATACAAACATACACAAACATACATACAAACACATACACACACTCGAGGAATCACTAGTTATAGACAACTAAAAATCACGCAAGCACATGCCACATTTACAGGTATATATCTATAAATAAATGTATGCGTGGACATTTAAAGAGGAAATTGCAATTACCACTTAACGACTATTGTCTGTCTATCTATCTATCTATCTATCTATCTATCTATCTATTTAAACACACCTCCATTGTCAATTTATTTCTTTCGTAATTTCTTTCTTTGTTAATTTCGTCTGCCGTTGTATTTCTTTCTTTCAGTGTAACCTTGTTTGTTCATTATCTATCTATCTATCTATCTATCTATCTATCTATCTATCTATCTATCTATCTGTCATGTTGAGTTAATATCTGTCTATATACCTATCAAAAACATTAAACAAAATTTGTAATCATTGCAGGTTCACCCACAACCTACAATCCAAATACGAGAATTCTAAAACCTACATTCCCCGTTGAAATAGACTTTCGGATCAATAAGGTGTGTGTGTGCGTATATATATATATATATATATATATATATATATATATATATATATATATATATATATATATATGTATATTTGGAATATCCATTGATTCATCGTTAAAAACAAGTATTGAACTCCAACATAAATAATTTGGAAAAATAAATTCGGTAAAAATAACATACAATAATACGTTCTGAAAAATCCTATACACCGGCCTAACGTATTTTTTACCATAGAAAACCCTAATACACCTACACACAAACTCAGCATATATGTGTATGTATATATAGTTTTCTTTTTTTCCTATTTTTATTGAAAATTTGTACACATGCAAGTATGGAAAAATGAATGTGGATATATATTATTATACAGATAAGTATATTACAACATATATAGGCAAAGATATATCTGTTGGATTTACTCTGGGAACGTTTTCAAACGACGGGATACGTGTGTGTATGCGCACTTACAGTCAGAGTTAAGAATCATTAAAAAGAATGTCTTGTACCAAACAATTTTGCTGAAGAAGGAAGGATACCTTGGACATAAAAATCGGACACAATAATAATGTAAGTACAAAAAACTTACTATATACACATACCTATATATATATATATATATATATATATATATATATATATATATATATATATATTGTATCGGTTGATTTTACGAGATATTTCCGCGTTTATTTCTCTGAATTCGTTCATTCACTTTGCTGGTTCTGTCTTTCAGTTCGAAACCGGCGACATTTTAGCATGTTAAAAATGATGCGTCCTGTTACGCCCCTGTCTTCAAAAGCCTGTTGTTCCCGCCCTGATCAGAGCGCTATATCCACTAGTTTTGTTTTTGTGTTGTTTTTTCAATTCATTCACCTCAAGGAAGGTGATAATGCCACTAAGATGCAAGGGGCAAGTGGGAATTAAAGAAAACGAAAAGACATCAGAAGAAATCGGAAACCCAATTCTAAACAGGGAGCAAGTGATAAACCAATACTCCTGTTCAAAATGCCGGGGAGGAGTGTGAACCGGACGATAGACTTATTTCATTGATATATATATATATATATATATATATATATATATATATTTAAAGATATTTTTGTAGGTACAAAATTTAATGATCGAAATAAAAGTGTAAAATTTAATATTACAAGACATATTAAAACAATATTAAATAATAAAAAAAAAAACAAAAAAAACTCAACATCAAGGGGGGTGGGAAGCAACCGGTTTCGCTCCCGCTCTTCAGGCTTCCACGGGAGATTCAAAATTAAAACAGAAAAATGTACACTAAGAATAGGTGGAAAAAAAATATATTTGTGTGTGTCTGTGTGTGCGTGTGTATTTATGTCTTTTATATACCGTATGTTGTTTATATGGAGAAGGTTGTAATGAACCGTTCCTACCGGCGGTACTGGACAGAAAATTGCCCATTGCAAACGTGTTTGGAAATGATTGATTCTTCTTCTTCTTTTATATGTTGTATCACTTCAGGACGAGAGCAATTATAGCTCTTCACAACTTCCTATCATTTTCTTTTGTTTAAACAATGTTTACCGCTGTCTCACCCTGTACCCTGTTCTGCCATCTGCGTACTCAAGCTTGTTAACTAGGTTACATGCTGTTTCTCCTTTGACCTCTTTCAATATATTCGATGTGTCAGATTTTACAAGCATACTTTTTTTCATAATGAATTGATTGATACGATAAAAATCTCTTTTTCAAACCGTGTTACTGAAACCCATTTCGATTTAAATCCTATTACACTCCCAGATTTAAAAAGGATTAGAGGTTTATACCTTGTTTCCTGTTTATTATTAAGTTTCCATTTCCATCTAAAGTCTACTCTAGCTCTGTACCCCTAATGCTTGTCATTTCCTACACTGATATAACTCCACAGAGTAGCGCTCTACCTTGAGTGATTCTTGGGCCTTGTATTGGGTGAATATTATTACAAGAAAATTCTCTAAATCGAGCAAACGGCTTCAATCAACTACCGACTGTTTATAAGTCCTTCAGTCGAACAGAAGTGGCAGTATGTGTCATCAATAATTACTGATGGTTTAATCTTTCAGTGAATAAATGAATAGGTAACTTATGTGGTTATATGCACGAAAATGCCATTGTTTGCTTTAATTATTACACCGCATTTCTTTCATGCATTCTTTCAGTTGGGGAGGGAGTACATCACATCATTTTGCCTGAGGAGCCTCGCCGTGTTGTAGTGGTTAACAGGTTTTTCTGGGGGACCATTAACACCGAATTGAAATAGGCATTAGCGGCTTTGCCGCTTAGTAAATATCAACAGAAAATTGGTACTAAAATGAGTTTGATCCTCACTCGGTGCTAGGAAATAAATATACATGATCTGCCTAAGTTTTAATAAATAAAAAGACATTTGGTAAATAGAGATGGTGTATCAAGTTAGCAAGCTGGTTTTTCAGACAATTCCTCATCAAAAGAATTCTATAGAAAAAAATCTTCTTCTCCTCCTCCTCCTCCTCCTCCTCCTTCTTCTTCTTCTTCTTCTTCTTCTTCTTCTTCTTCTTCTTCTTCTTCTTCTTCTTCTATGTGCCGTACCTCTTCAGGACATTGGCAATCATAGTCCATCACAATTGCTTGTCCTTTGTAGCTTTTAAATTTTTTGCCTTTTTTTGTTATATCTCCTGAACCTTGTTCCGCCATCCATTTACTCAATCTTGCTCGGTAGGCCCTTGCTTTGTTTTCCTCCTTCCCTCTTACCTTCAATTTGTCCTGTGAGTATTTTCTCAGGCCTCTTTCCTCATTATATACTCTAGAAATTTCCCATGATTCTTCCTGGTTTTACGTATAAGTGCCCTTTTTGTTTCCATTTTCTCTAAAACTTCGTCGTAGTTCAAAAAAATAAAAATAAACTAAAAATAATGGCAAATAGGTACTAGAAAAGAAAAAAAATGATAGAATCAACTGACCAGTTTTCGTTCGATTCTCATCAGAGTTCAAACGGGGGAATTAGACATATGTGCAGAACGTCTTAAAAAAAAAAAGAAGAGAAAAGAAAATTTGAAATGAGACGTAGCCAATATCACTATTGCTGCCACATGTGGTTTGCCACTTCTGCCCAGTGTCTAGAGATTCTTAACAAAATCCAAAGAGGAATCGACAACGTTATCCATCTTGACCTGGCAGCTCGGCTTAAGTTACATCGGCGCCGACGTACTGTAGCTTCCATTTGCTTCATCTATGAGTATTTTTTCGGCAATTGTTCCGAAGATCATCCCTCATTGGTAACACGACTTTAGGAATTTAAGCACAGAACTAGATTGGCTGTTAGGTATCATAATTCCGTCGTTGAAATAGCTACTTGTAACCGAAAGTTTTATGCTGAGTATTTTTATCGCTCATGGGACTCTTTTTCGGCTTCATGATTTCCTGTCAACTACGATATTCAGGAATCTTCGAAGATTTATATACAATCTTAATCGAGTATCTTTTGTCTCATTGTATCGTATTATTATTATTATTATTATTATTATTTCCTTTGATTTCTGTTATATACATATTTCCTTCCGGGTTCCAACCAGAGACCTAAGCTCAGAAATGGGTTCATGACACCTTCCACAGATGATTTTTGTAAAAAGAAAAAAAGAAAGAAAACCAAAGATCACCCATATTTTACATGGATAATGTCCTTCGTAAGGTGTGAACTGTACTTGTGAGGACAACTTTTTGTATTTCTTTAAGGCATGGGCTACCAGGGATTCCTTCAATGAGTCTATTGGAATCTTTTCTAATCAACCCGAGGGCTCCAGCTACAACTGGAATTACTGATGTTCCTATGTGCCACATTTTTGAGATTTCAATTTCAAGGTCCTTGTATTTTGATATGTTTTTAAGATCTTCAAAGATACATTGCAGTCTGTCATTGTTGATGTCCTCATGAACCATATTTTATTATTACTATTATTATTAATATTATTATTATTATTATTATTATCATTGTCTTTTCCTTTTACTTCCAGTGAAACT